AGGTAAGTAACCATGTTTAGTTACGTTTTGAGTGAGCATGAGAAGTATACTTTTAAACCGAATGAATCGAGGATATTAGCTGCTAAACCTGTGGAGTTTTCTAGTCCTCTACCTTTTAATTCAAAAGTGCAAGAAAAAAATATTATGGGCAGTGCTAGTGAGTTTAAAGTAGACAGTAAGGGTTTGTTTGGGAGTTCTGGGCCTATGTTACCTCGACCTAAATTGGAGTTACAGATGTTTGATGGCAGTAATCCCAGAGGGTGGGTTCGAAAATGTCAAAATATTTTAATCTTTTGGGAGTTCCTGAGGAGCAGAAACTGGATGTGGCTGCAATGTATTTGATGGGGAAGGCTGAGACTTGGTTTGATGGTTATATTATGCAGAAGCATAGAGTGACTTGGCATGAATTTGAGGCTGATTTATGTCATAGTTTTTTTGACAGAAACTATTCAACTATCATTGAAGAATTTAATAAGTTAATGCAATAAAAGTTTGAGGAGTTAAGACCCTATTTGCTACAACAACATCTGCATTTAGGGGAGGATTATTTTGTTTCCAACTTCATTAGTGGTCTTAAAGAGGAATTAAAACATAAGGTGAAAGTGTTGGAGCCTAAGAACCTATCTGAAGCTTATAGGCAAGCTAAACTATATGAGTTAGCTAATGAGATTGAAGGAAAACAGTACAAATCTCCTAGTAGAATTTTTCCTTATACTCCTTCAAACAGTCAACATAACAGTGGTAATAGGAGTTTAATACCTAAGTCAGTTCCTCATAATACCAACCCAAAACAGAATCTGTTGGATTATAGAAGAGCCAACAATTTGTGTTTTAAATGTGGAGAAAAATTTGTTCCAGTGCATCAGTGCAAAGTCAGAAAGCTGAATTGTATGGAGGAAGAGGAACCTACAGATTCTACTGAACAGGATTTAACAGAAGGAGAGAATAGAGAGGTGGAAGATCAAGCTAAAGAAGCCCTGGAAATTTCTATCAATGTTATTACAGGGAATGTGGGACATATTAGTTTGAGGATTCAAGGTTTTATCAAGGGAAAACCTATTAATGTACTAATTGATAGTGGCAGCACTCATAGTTTTGTAACTCCTCAATGGGCCAAGGAAGGGGTTGAATTGGTTCATACCCAGCCATTAGTTATTACAGTAGCTAATGGGGAGAAACTGTTCAGTACGGCTAGAAGCAACAAGGTGAGTTGGAAGATGCAGGGCTATGATTTCCAGCATGATTTCAGAGTTTTATCTCTGGGAGGTAGTGATATGGTATTGGGGGTAGATTGGATGGAAGTATTTAGCCCTATAATGATGGATTTTAAAACTAAAACCATCAGTTTTGAGAAAGATGGGAAAACTGTAGTTATAAAGGGGTCTCAAAAGCTGCCATTAATCAGATCAATCTCGGGTGAGAAATTACAAAAGTTAGCAGAAAAAGACAATGAATTAAGTGGGGAGATTTATTTGCTAAGTACTGAAGTGGAAGACAATGTAGTTCCTTTACCATTACAAGAACTACTGGAAGAGTTTAAAGAGGTTTTTGAAGAACCAAGGGGAATGCCTCCTAGTAGGAAACATGATCATGCAATTGTCCTTAAGCAGGGGACACAACCAGTAAACCTTAGACCTTATAGATTTGCTCATCATCATAAGACTGAAGTAGAGAAAAAGATTACTGAAATGCTGTCCTCATCTATTATTCAGGTGAGTAAAAGTCATTTTGCTTCTCCATGTTTACTTATTAAAAAGAAAGATAGAACTTGGAGATTTTGTGTGGACTATAGGGCACTTAATTCTGCTACAGTTAAAAATAAGTTTCCTATTCCTATAGTGGAGGATTTGCTAGATGAGTTGAATAGGGCTGTATTCTTTTCAAAAATTGATTTGAGGTCTGGATATTGGTATATTAGAATTAAAGAGGAAGATATTCATAAAACTGCTTTTAGGACTCATCAAGGACACTATGAGTTTAAAGTAATGCCTTTTGGTCTTACTAATGCGCCAACTACTTTTCAAGCTTTGATGAATGATTTGTTTGGAGCATATTTAAGGAAGTTTGTTCTTGTATTTTTTTGATGATATATTGATTTACAGTCCTAGCTTGGCAGAGCATAAACAGCACCTAAGAACTGTGTTGGAGGTTTTGTTAAAAAACAGGTTATATGCTAAAAGGAGTAAGTGTTTCTTTGGACAGCAACAAGTGGAATATTTAGGACACTTAATATCAGCTGAGGGAGTGGCAACAGATCCTAACAAAGTTAAAGCTATGCAACAGTGGCCTTTGCCTAAGAATCTGAAAGCTTTAAGAGGATTTTTGGGATTAACTGGATACTACAGGAAATTCATAAGAGGATATGGAGAACTGAGTAAGCCCTTAACTAATATGTTGAAAAAGGATGGGTTTTGTTGGTCTGAAGAAGCCATAACAGCTTTTGAAAAGCTCAAGGAAGTTATGTGTAATGCTCCAGTGTTGGCTTTGGCTAATTTTGACCATAATTTTTTTTAGAAACTGATGCTAGTTCTAAAGGGATTGGAGCTGTTCTTTCCTCAAGCAGGGAGACCTATAGCTTATTTGAGTAAAGCTTTGGGGCCTAAGTATGCAGATCTTTCAATTTATGAGAAGGAGTATTTGGCCATTTTGATGGCAGTTTCTCATTGGAGGCATTATTTTGAGAGTGGTTCGTTTGTAATTAAAACAGACCATGAGTCCTTAAAACATTTACTTGATCAAAAGTTAATTACAACTATCCAGAAGAAGGGACTTACAAAGTTATTGGGTTTGGATTATATTATTCAGTATAGGAAGGGTAAGTCTAACAAAGTTGCAGATGCACTATCTAGACAACAACTGGATTCTGGTGAATTTATTCAAATGGGAGTTACTTTTATAACTCCTACTTGGGTACAAGATATTGAAAAAAGTTATGAGGAAGATGTTATAGCCCAAGAGAAAATTCCTATTATGGTTATTAAGCCAGATGAGCTACAAAACTGGAAATTATTAAAAGGAGTATTATATTTCAAAAATAGAATTTACGTGGGCAGAAAAGGAGATTTGAGGCATAATATAATTGTGGCTTTGCATGACTCACCATAAGGAGGTCACTCAGGTATTCAAGCTACTTATCAAAAAATTAATTCTTATTTTTTCTGGCCAAGGATGAAAATGCAAATTCAAGAGCATATACAGCAGTGTGATGTGTGTCAAAGGACTAAAATATAACATATTTCTAAGCCAGGGTTGTTACAGCCTATTGCAGTCCCAAACAATGTTTGGGAAGTGATTACAATGGATTTTATTGAGGGTTTGCCATTTTCAACAAAATATAATTGCATTTTGGTGGTGATTGATAAATTCACTAAATATGCTCATTTTATGCCACTATCTCATCCTTATACATTAGTGGAAGTTGCTAGAGTTTATCTTGATCAGGTTTACAAGTTACATGGTCCACCTAAGATGGCTATTTTTGATAGGGACAAGTTTTTTACTAGTCTGTTTTGGCAGGAATTAATGAAGCAATTGGGTTCAACTACATTATTTAGTATTGCCTATCTTCCTGAGACAGATGGCCAGACAGAGAGGTTGAATCAGTGTTTGGAACAGTATTTGAGGTGTATGTGTTTCTTGAAACCAAAGACTTGGTCTAAATGGTTAGCTCAGGTTGAATGGTGGTACAACACTAATTACCACTCTGCTCTACAAATGACACCATTTGAAGCTTTATATGGGTATAAAGCTCCTAATATGACATGGACTACATATTCTAGGGTGGAGGCAGTGCAGAATGTCATGCAAAACAGGGAGCGGTTAAATTCATTACTACGAGAGAAATTACTTAAAGCTACTAACAGAATGAAGCAGATAAGTTATAAACATCGAACAGACAGGGAGTTTTAAATTGGGGATGAAGTTTACCTGAAGCTCCAACCATACAGACAAACATCACTGGCCCTAAGAAGAAACTTGAAGCTTACTGCTCATTATTTTGGACCCTACAAGATAAAAGACAGAATTGGTCAAGTTGCTTATAAACTTGATTTGCCAGCAAATTCGAAGATACATCCAGTTTTCCATATGAGTTTACTTAAGAAGAAAGTCGGGAAAAAATGACTTATCTCGATCGATCCTCTAGAGGTCGCGTTGGATGGACAACTGAAGATTTACCCAGCCCTCATTTTGGACCAGCGAGTGATTACAAGACAAAATCGAGCAGTCATTCAACTGTTCATTCAGTGGACAAATATGGGAGTAACAGAAGCAACTTGAGAAGATTATACTGTATTGAGATAATAATTTCCTCAGTTTGATCCTTGGGGATAAGAATAGTCTGGAGAAGGGGGTATTGTTATGATGATAGGAAAGTTAGGGTTTGATCGTGTTGATTTGGGGGAAATGATGAAGAGAATAATTGGGAAGCAACATCAGAAATTGGGGAAGGATCGAAGAAATTTAGGGATTGACATGGGGGCTAGGGATTGAGTTCCTATCTGAGGAATTAGGAATTGAAGTAAAAATGGAATGAAGAGTAAGAGACGGGTTGAAGACTTAGGCTGGGGAAAGTTAGTGGGCTTGCTGTGACTTAAACCAATATGAGTTACAGGTGGGCCTAGACGTGGGCTTGAGTGGTTATTATAATTTAGGAGAGAAGTTTGGAGGGTGAGTCAGCTTAGGACGGTTATTTTGTTAGATTTGTTATGACAGTTGGTACGTTATATATATAATTTGTACCAATCCTTTAAGGGTTATCTTATGAATGAAGAACATTTTCTGTATCTAAGTCTTTCTATTTATGAAATCTCTAATTTCTTCTATTTTCTCATCCTAATTCATAACAGAAAACCAAACACAAACAAGTACTTCACTCATGACAACAATTATGGTAATGTTCTAAAACACCTCAAATTTCTCAATTGCAAGAAAAAGTTCATGCCTGCATAAATGAACCATTTCGAATAAACGCCGAGAAGTAAAATTTTCTCATAATAAATGGTGAAAGAACTTGCTGACTTGACATTGGCTTAATATATATCATAGTGTTACAATGATCACCTATGTGCTAGTCAGTGCATGAAAACAATTAACAACTACAACAATACCTACAAATTCAACCCCCAAACGTTACAATGTTTCAGCATGGGTCTTATTCTTCCTTCTCAGTTCACCGATATCCTCCAGAACTGCCTCGAAAGTTCCTGCATTACAGTCAGGTTCTTTCTAAATAAAAAAACTGCACATAACATGATTTCATTCCCAATAAAACCTCACACATGAGTCTTCCTCGGCCTCCCTCTATTCCTCGAGCCCGAATTGGACACACTCCCACCTGAAATCACTGTAGGGGTCAGAGGAGGGGATGCCGCTGACGCTGCGAGTGGTGTGGCTTGCTTGTTGCCTCTATTTCTTTCGCCCTCATGCGGCGACACTTTAGAATATGTAGGATGCATCCAATTCGGAAAGGCGGTGGGGGGTTTTCCATTACTTTTCGGACTTCCAGACATAAATCCTAATGGAAAAAACGCCCAGCAATATTAGTAAGCTTCTTTCCCCGGAACCAGCGGCGGCAATGTTGGAATATTAACTGCGTGAAACGCTTTCTCACAATTCTGGCACCTTAAACAATAACCTTCGTAAGCCCTATGATACTCGAACAACTTATAATAGTACTGACAAGCTGTCCAAAATGTAGAAGTTTTCGACCTTTGATTCTCATTCTGGGTATTCCCATTCGACGTCCAATATTGCTCATGCTCCTGATTTAGGCCTCTTCTCGTGATCGATAATTTCCCGGATGGATTCGAACGATCGTCGCCCCTACCTAAATTAATCATCGTAAACAAGCTCAATTCTTTGTCGTAAGCATATTTTTTTGAACTGTTAGATAAAATCCCCCATGCATCAGCAACAAGATTGAACGCGTGATCGGCGAAAGGGAACTTGTTTTTGTCTGGGTGGAGAAGGAGAACTGGTCGACGATACTGTTTCTTGATGATATCATTGTCGTCGGATCGGCCATCGATTTGTAGAATGGAGTACCAATCTTGGTAATTGTTTATCTTTTCTCAGCTGCAAGGATGACATCGGCGATGGCTAGGATCTTATCTGAACCGTCCAACAGCGGTTCGGTCTCTTGGGCTAAGATTGCGAAGTCTCTTGAACCGTTGAAATCACGACCTTGGAGAAGCTTCTCGGCGATTCCTAGAAGACGAATGGCTTCAACCCTATTTCCGTTTTCCTTCATTTTCCAATAGGGAAGGGTAAGAGTCTGTTCGGATAGTGAGAAAACGATGGGATCTTTTAATTTTGTAGGGTAAATTTCGAAATTTCAAAATTTCTTCCAAGTAAGAAATTTGAAGTATAGAATATAGATAGATGGTTGAATTGCTCCCATGATGTTGTGATCCGACGAATTATTTTTTTTTCGGTGAATTATTCGAAAAATTAAGTCATAGATGGATAGGAAGAAGAAGAAAGTGTTTTTAGTCTTTTTCACATGAATGGTGGTTTTCCGCTCAATAATACAATATTATCCAAGACAGTATATGAATGACCATTAAACTAAGTTCAATCGTACAAGAATTTATCAGATAGTTTTCGTGATAAAAATTATTATCTCTTTAATAAGTTTAAACGATCACATTTTTAGAATTTTTGTGTGTTGTCAATAGATTAAAAATAATATTTTTTATTTTTTTTAATTAAATTAATTTTTTATTTGTTTCAATTAATTTTAATCGAATCAAATTGAAATTAAACTCTAATAATCTATTTACCAAACATTTTGTTTAAAGATTATCATTTATCACAATAAGAGAATTCATTTTATCGTGATATGTTTTTGCTCTATTATCTCATTATCTGGAGTTCCTTTGAACTGAAGTTCCTCTTGACTTCAATCGATTAATAATAATAAGAGAAGAACTTCGCAAGTGGTCGGTGTAGGTTGTTTTGATTCATAACACAATCGATGCTTAAGTTTGTAATTGTTTAAATTCCCAAGCGAGCAAAGGAACTGAATTGACTATTAGCATAATCTTCTTTGAGAAAGATTAAATATGGAGAGTGCTAAGGATTCTAGGGAGTTCTTTGATCCCGGATTTACAACATGATCTTTGCTTGGATTTCAATCTTTTGACCGGCAGATCAAATGTTACAGCATGAATGGAGCTATATCACCAAGAGAGGTAGTGGATTTCATCATTTTTGTGATATCATCTGTTTAGTCCAGTACACCAGATAATGAGGGGAAATACTTTCTATTACAGCGACTGAGGACTAGAGGGGTTTTGCCCTTGTGTGGTATTCATTGTTCTAAGTTGTCTTGATAAAGCTTTCATGCTTGCCTCCGTTGAAAAACAGGAACAATACTGGTGCAGTAGCGAATCAATTAGATGTGGATCCTGGAATAATCAAGGAGTTGCAAGATAATTCAGTTGTATGAATTACATTGTATTGTAGATGCCAATATAATATGTATTGAATATATAGGATTATATTTTAGATGATTAAATACTATTTGTTCAAAAACTTTTTAATTTTTTATTATTGATAATAAATACACATACATACCTAGCTTTTTGAGCCATAATCTTTGAAAAGAAAATAATATTTACTTAATGGATGAAATTATACCCTTTAAACCCATTAAATAACATATTCTATGATTTTCGTACTCGTTCTTCCTCACCTCGAAGCCTCTTTTTCTCGGGTGAACCCCACACCTATATATGTGAAGAAGCAAAAAATCTGAGGCGTAGGATTTGTACAATAACTCAACAGCGTGCAAAAAGCCGATCGCATTAGAACATCGCTCATCCTTGTGTGTACAAAATAAATCAAACATTTCCGATCGATAGAGTGCTCTAAATCTCAGCAACGTCTTCTTTCCTCTGAATCACCACCATTTCTGATTTCACTAGAAAACCCCCTTCTACGCTCTGAAGTTCATGGAATTAGGGTTAGGGTTATAGCATTGTAGACACGCTCAGACTAAAAAAGGGAAAAGAATGAGGCAGCCATATAACTACAATCACCAGAGTCATCAATCTCAAAGAAGCGCATTTGCCGCGCTTTTCCTCCTCCTCTTGCCAATTTTCCTCCCAAATCTCTTCGCCCCTCTTGGGCGAGCCTATCCATCTCTGTTCTCCGTAATTTTCATTTTCTGCTTGCTATTTCTCTTTTTCTTTTATATAGCTTGCTTTCGATTCCAACTTTCAGTTTTAGTTTCTGCGTATGGTTGCGTTTATTTCACTGTGATTTGAATTAAATGATCAATTGAAGAAGCTCTTGCTTTTCCAGGAATGGAATGCTCCGAAACCAAGACACTCCTCTTTACTTGAGGTCGCTTTGCATTGGAAAGCTGTTAGTATCATTTTTAGTTGATTTTTATTTATTGGTGAAAAGCCTTCAAAATTTAATACTATGCATGTTTCTTATTACTTTGCTCTTTCAGCCGATTAAACAACGATTAGATCTCTGGTCTCCCTTGCCAAATCAAGGATGGAAGCCTTGCATCGACTCTGCTGATAACCCCCCGTGTTAGTGCTTGAAGATTTATATAATGAGATCCTTGGATATCATTAAGTATGAATGAGATGATATTTTTTTCTTCAACTAATAAGCTTGTTTTCATTTCTTGAAGCATTGCCGGAGAGATCTGAGGGTTATATTCAGGTATTTCTTGATGGAGGATTGAACCAGCAAAGAATGGGGGTGAGTTCATGGGTAGCTAATGCATGTTTTTTGCAGTTTGGTTTTAATGCGCTAACTTTTGACTTGTTTTACTTATTGTTAACAAGATATGCGATGCAGTTGCTATAGCTCAGATATTGAATGCGACACTGGTGATACCACACCTTGAGGTGAATCCTGTTTGGCAAGATTCAAGGTATTTCATGAGTAACATATACAATTTGTCGTAGTTTTTCCCCCCTCTCTCTCACTCTTAATCTGAGGAGGTTCGGGTTTGCTTCTGCAGTTCATTCACAGATATATTTGATGTGGATCACTTTATCAATGTCCTTCGTGATGAAGTTTCTATAGTTAAAGAGCTCCCAAGGCAATATTCTTGGAGCACACGGGAATATTATGCTACAGGTATAAGAGCTACTAGAATCAAAACGGCACCTGTTCGTGCTTCGGCAGAGTGGTATGTGGAAAATGTGTTGCCTGTCATACGGAGGTAAAGCTTTAAGCTACAGATACAACTTTCTTTGGTAAATTAGTACCGTTTTCAGCCCTTATGCTAGATAACCACTTGGTGAACAATAGTCATAGAAATCTGTATGTGTGTGTACGATTCAACTAGAAAACAATATTGTTTGTGATAGTTAATAGATCTTTATGGGTGCAGATATGGGATTGCTGCTATATCACCATTCTCCCATCGCCTAGCGTTTGACAAGTTGCCTATAAAAATTCAACATTTACGTTGTAAAGTAAACTTCGAAGCTCTAGTTTTTGTTCCTCAGATCAGATTAATAGGAGAGAGCCTTGTTCATAAACTCCGTTATCCTTCTGGGAAGCTTCAAAACTCAGGCAGTGAGGTCCTACATGACAGAATAGATGATACCCCAAAAGAAGGAGCCGGAAAGTTTGTTGTATTACATCTTCGCTTCGACAAAGTATGAATCCCTACTCCTTTAGATAATTGAGTAAGCCTCTTAGGTTAAAACTAAAAGATGATGCTCAGTTCTTTCGTAACTGGAAAGAATGAATTCTCATTAAATGATTTCTGGGCATTGGTCATTGGACTGGGCATTGAAGCTGGTAGGATATATCTGCTATCAAAGCATTTGTACCTCTATATTTTGAGTGCACTTTTACGGTAGTTTCTGGGTAAAAGCATCTGTCAGTTGTTTACAATAATGGTTACTGACTCGTCTGATGAGTGTTGAGTCGGTTATATTGATTTTTATCCAAATATATAACATGCATATATATGGTTATATTGATTTTTATCCAAATATATAACATGCATATATATGCGCATATGCTGTAGCAACTGTAATTCCTTTCTAATTAGACTTTTTGCAGGATATGGCTGCTCATTCAGCTTGTGATTTTGGTGGAGGCAAAGCTGAGAAACTGGCCTTAGCTAAGTACCGCCAAGTTTTATGGCAGGGAAGGGTCTTAAACTCTCAATTCACTGACAATGAGTTGAGAAATCAGGGGAGATGCCCATTGACTCCAGAGGAGATTGGGTTGCTACTAACGGCTTTGGGCTTCAACAATAATACTAGCCTCTATCTTGCTTCTCACAAAGTCCGTCTCGTTTCTTTCTTCTTGCTTGATGGTTGACTTAGTTTATTATCATCTTAGCTTGTTACATAGGAGTCGATTTGATCTGTCTTATTTACTAGGCAAATTTTGAAAATGTCTGTTTTGAGTGAAGCTCCGATTTAAAAGGAACATCTTTTCCTTTTTCAGGTTTATGGAGGAGAGGCTAGGATCTCCACATTGTGCAAAATGTTTCCGCTCATGGAAGATAAGAAGAGCCTTGCTTCAGCAAAGGAGCTAGCTGAAGTTGAAGGTAAAGCTTCTTTGATGGCTGCAGTTGATTATTATGTGAGCCTTCAAAGTGACATCTTCATCTCCGCTTCTCCTGGAAACATGCACAATGCTTTGGTAAGGATGCCCTTGCCAAATTTCCGCTTTCATCATTTCTTTTAGTATCAAATTCACTGTATCCTACATAAAAGAAATTTCATAAATGAGAATTCATATTTATCTGTTTACAGCTTGGACATCGAGCTTACTTGAACTTAAAGACCATAAGACCAAACATGTTACTATTGGGCCCTCTATTCCTTAATAAGAGCATGGAGTGGCTTGAGTTTCAGCGTGCAGTTATGGATGGGCATAAAAATAGACAAGGCCAGATGAGGTTAAGAAAGGAGAAGCAATCTATATATACGTATCCAGCCCCCGATTGCATGTGTAGAGCTTAACTTTTTTCAGTTAGCAGTTTTCAATTCACTCTGTGTGTGTGTTTTTATCGGTTTAAACTTTTGAAATCATTTATTACCCTACTTTAATTTCCCTCGAGATGTCTACCATCTTTTCTCGCTTTGCCTATAACGTTCGACCACATGAGATTCGCTATGATAATCTATTAAGGCTGTTAACCGTTATGTTTGAGTGTGCAACTAAAATAATCTCCGAGCCAAAAATCGAGCCGCCACTTAGGTTTTAAATAAATGGGTTTCCAAATGTTTTCGGTTTTTTTCTTTTCTTTTTGATAATGAACTTGTATTCATTAATCGAATACCATCGTTTGCACAACATCGAAAATACACGATAATCAAAGGAAAACGAGGAAGAAGCAACAGATCCAAACTGAGCAACGCCATTAGCAAAGTTTAAGCAACTGTGGCCTTAAATTAAGGTTAAAGAATGGTTAGAAATAGGCGTAACTTGAAATGTTAATTTTTCCTAATATTTTCGGTTTGATCAAAAATATTGTATTCTTCATAATATTTTCGGTTGGCACTCGAAAATATTTCATTCTTCATAATATTTATTGGTGAAGTTGAAAATGTTAAAAAAAAGTTAATATTTTAGGTTGCTTTCAACTGAAAATATTATATTTTTATCACATTTTCAGTTACACTCATTTTCTATTGTACTTTAGTAGGCCTATAAACAAACCGAACGTTCAGCGAACTGTGCGTAAACTGTTCGGCAGGAAGTTCGTTTATGTTCGTTTATTTATTAAACGAACAAACATGAACAAAATTTTGTGTTTGTTTAATTAAATGAACGGACATGAATAGAGGGTTCGTTCGTTCATTTGTTCGGTTAAAGTTAAACAAACGAACATGAATAGACCATATTCGTGTTCGCTCGGTTCGTTTACAAACCTATACTTTAGCTTTAAATTAAATTGTGGTATTGCAAAATTATCTAGACGAGTTTGCTATTTACTTTTGAAAGGCCAAGTAACTTGGTATGTTTCAATTTCAAATAATGATGGAAATTTAGTCCATGTCAATTATGAAAGTGAATAATTTTTTTAAAAATGGTAATTGGATTTATTAATAATGGAAGGAATCAAAATTACAATACATCAAAATATAGAGAGAAATTTGGAGACAATAATCGCCGAAATACTCATACAAAGAAACAATTAAAACTAAAGATACCAAGAAAAATAAAGCCCTACAATGAGAACAACGACTAACATCAAAACTCAATAATCTTTATAAAAACACATTGTCTATGTCGAATGAGAAGCTTGACGAAACGATAAAGGAGTGGAGAACAAACCAAATAATATGCCAGACTGTTTCGCTACGCAATCTGATTACATCGACAAACAATATTTTACCAAAAGAGAGGATCTGAATATATGTGACCATCGACTAACCAATCAGAAAATAAATGTCGTGATGGTTTTTGTGCGAGAACCGTGTTATCATCATCCCTAAAGATGACCTGTCATCCTCATCACATAGGAACCGTGTCATCTACCGACCAGATCTCCTCATATCGTAAGAGTCGTGTCACCCTTAGATAACCAGCCGTCCTCATCGCGTAGGAACCGTATTATCATAATCCTTAAAGATAGCCAACCGTCCTCATCGCATAGAATTGTGTCATCCACCGACCAAATCTCCTCATAACGTAGGAGCCGTGTCACCTTTAGATAGGCAGACTTCCTCATCACGTAGGAACCGTGCTATCTCCAAATTTACCTAAAAACAACTAGAACTCTTCATCACGTATGAGCAGTGTCATCCTCAATAACAAACATATCCTATTTCTAAGCAAAAAGGAGAACCAGACAAAAACGTGATGTCTCGTCGTCTTTGTCCTATTCTTGTTAACACAAGAATGTGCAAAGAAGGGCAGCTGTTGACACCCATTTTTGTTCGGGTCTTTTATTATTATTATTATTTATTTATAATTACATTATTTTATGCATGCTTAAATTACAAAATCCAGTACAAGTGAAGCCCAGTTTACAAGAACCCAAAGCCCAATTAAATATTCAGCGGCCCACTAGGATCCCCAAAATCGACCCAGGATCCAACCCAACCCCAGGCCCACTTGACAACATGATTAGGGTTCCTTCTCTTCAACTACTATCCGCCCAAATCTCAGCCGTTGGATCTGGACACAAATCAATGGTCCAGGTTAAGAGTCATTTAGGGTTTTTTAAAACCCTAACCCTTTAGCAGTCGCCATACGCCAACGTTTAACTTCCCAACCGAGCTTCATCATTGCCGCCATCGCCATAAAAGTCGATCAAAACCCATCTATCCACAGTGACAGAAAGCAAATCAGTCATAACCGAAATAAAAAAAACCCAATAGAGAAATGAAAAGAAATCAATGATATCCCAAGGCAAATCTAGAGATGTCAAGACTCTATCTCCTCGATGGTAGAAAAATCATCACAAAGAAATCAACATGCAAACAGATAAGAGGACAAAGATAGAAGAGAAGCCATCACAGACATCACCATAAAGAAAGGAGAAAAACCAGAGAGAAAAAAGATTTTTTGAGTGACCATTTTCGAAAAAGAAGGGAGAGGGAACCGAGAGAAAAAAACAAAGAGAGGGGGTTTCAAAAATGAGAGAGAAAGTTTTGGTGGGGTTTTTTGGGGAAAAAAAGAAACAATAAGGAAGGGGGAGAGAACCAAAAAGAAAAAAAAACAAATAACAAAAGTAGTGAGAGAGAGAAAAAAACGAAGAAAGAGGATAGTGAGAGAGAGCCTTAACTCCTAGTCGGACGCCGAAGAGCATCAAGGGTCGCTAGAGACGAAGAAACCTAAGCGTTTCTTCGTAGATCTACGGCGTTTGAATTAGTTCCATACGAAACAAAGCCCGGATCCACAGCCAGGGCGAAGAGGAGCTCCTAACCATACCTTTTTCTCTCTTTTCCAACACCAACGGACGATTGTTATTTCCGGCAAGATACAACCGACATGGTGGAGGATCACCGGATTCTAAAAATCCTTGGACTCCAATTGAAGCTCATGAGAGCTTTATCTCATTCTCTCTCTCTTTCAGTGAAACGAAGAAGAGAGAAATGAAATTTGGAGTTTCATAATCCATCAAAGAGGCATATATACAAGACTCAAAACGATGCAGTTTTAGGGGAGACCTGGGGAGCATTTTCGCGCTTGGGTTATTCATAAGAAAGATCCTCTGTATCTTATAACCTTTTATTTTAGTCATCAATGCAACTTTAGTTTATTTTTAACTTCGATCTCTTGTTTTGTGTATGTTGTAATTTAGTCCTTGTTTACATTTGAATGCTTTTATGTTTTATTCAAGCCTGGGTCATCGTGTTTTAGTTTATTTATACTTAAGCATTCTATTTTCTTGATTAGTTCATTTTAGTCCTTATCTGGTTGATTATTACCTTTTATTAGTGTTTGACTTTGGCTATGGTATTTGTAATGATTTCATTTTAGTCATTGACTTCATGAGTTGTATGATTTATTGATGTTTGAATTTGACCCTAAGTTTTATGAATATGTTGTTTTGGTCACTTTTTTATGAATGCATCTTGGTATAATTATGGTTTGATCCTTTCATATTTCTTGTTTATTTTATTTTAGTCTTTAGTTACTTATGGGTATTTTCGTTTTCAGTCTCTATTGTTTGATATTTTCGATTAAGGTTCTGGTTGGTGGTTGTAATAATAGATTATTCCTTTAAGTTTCTGTTACTATTATTCTAGTCCCTCATGTATGAATATATTTTACATTATATATATGTATTATATTAAGTAAATATTATCCATGATTATTGTATATAAATGTATGTTGTTTTTTATTTAATATTTATTTCCCTCATGTTTCTTTATCTATTGTATATTATTTGAATATTTTCAAGAACACCAATTTGTAGAATGAGCGTGAAAAGCATCACTTGGTCGAAGTGATGCGATCCGATACGACATTTTAATGAAATGAGAACTTGAAATAAATCTAGTTTATTTTACTTATTAAATTATTTTTTTATCAAATATTGCAAGGCATTTTTCTTTAAATGACAACTTATGTTATTTTTTTGCAAATATCGATTGTCAATTTATATTCGATTCACACTTTTATCGAGGAGAGAATATTCTTTACGAATAATTTAGATAGCTTTCCTGATGGAGAATTGCTAATCTCGAGATTTCTTTTCAAATTAAAGAATTTTCCCTAATAAATTTTGAAACAAATTAATCAATATTCAATAAACGGATCATATTTTAACTTTATATTTGATTTACAATTTCCACTACTACGACAATGTGTAACCGATTAAGTACCAATTTTTGGGCGTTGTGGGGTGCATGTTCTTCCCCACGCGTAACCGACTCCCGGACCCGTAAAATCAAATTTTTGGTAAACGCATACCAACTTTTGTCTTAAAAAATGATTTTTCCATAAAATTGTTTTAAAAGATATTTTTAGATATTCGACCTACCTAAGTCAAAGGTTGATGTCGACTTCTATCCAATTTAATTCAAATCAACTCAAAAATCGTCAATTTTCTAAATTAAAGTCATAATCAATTTTAAACTTAATTGTTTAAAAAAATGGTTATCACATCAACAATATGAATTTTGGAGAAACCTAGTTTCCTCGCCACCTTGGTTGCTGTTAAACCAGTAATCCTAGGTTCAACTACAGCAAAAACTTGAGGATTATGAGTCTGAATCACGTCTCTGGCATGTCGCAAAAAAGCATTTTTGCCGGTACCTCTACAATTCCAAACTAACAAACTCATTAGCAAAGAGAATCGAGAGTCTCAAGTTGTACCTGTTCACTTGAGGGAACTTGTCTACTTCTATCCACCAACATATCAGCCGAATAAGAGCCGTTAACAGCTGGCAATGTGACACTGACAGACCTTGCCAAATCAGAGGTAGTTCCACCATCAGGGGGCTTAAGGTTGCGTTGATACGATGGCGGAATACCACTATTTCTAGCTTTCCCCATCACCTCTGTCACCTTTAAAGTTATAGGTAAACTGCTGGAATTAGTTTGCTTGGTAAGTCCATGTTGAGGCTCCAAGTTGGAGACATGCACTCGATTAG